TAGTCTGGAAGTTTCAGCCATAATCAACAAGAATCTGTTGACAGAACTACAATATTAATTTTTCATAACTCGTAAAATGGTAGAGGTCTTTTATTGAAGTGAGTTGCATTATATAATTAAAACCAACTTTTAAGAACCATTCTCTCATAAATATGAACTAGTAGTATTTCTGTATCAGTGGTCAAAATGTCAGCCCCTAAGATCAAAACATGGCAGATATATTTAAATTTTTCTTTGTCTAGTGATTTACCGACACTCTATATATTGAAGTTTCTACGGTCACATTCTTGTTCACCAAGATACTACCGTTCTTTTAGGCATGGCATAGAATTATGCTTTTGTTCTGCCTGAAGTCGAGTGACTATTTGTTGTTATCAACTTGATGTATAGATAACATCTCGTTGTAAAAGGTTCTACCCTTTCAGAGAGATGTTCTGAGTGCTATGAATAAAGTCCATGAAAGCCAGAAACGATATGATTGGATCTGTGCAGTAACAACGAATCAATATGAGTCATTCCGAATACAGAAGACGTGTGTCATATGAATGAAGCTATAAGATTGACTATTGATTGAAAACCTTTGTCTCAATCTGTTTGGTGGCTTCATATTCATTGAAGACAACTTTTTCGCAATAATTAACTCAAATAATCATTAAAAACATATAGACTGTTATTTTCCTTGAGTTGGTTTTTAATTCTTGACATCTTTTAAAAAATGACTATATTGAGAACTTTCATAACGACATGCAGAATGAGACCCCATATCTGGACAGTGATGTGTGTTTACATCTGAATATAAATATTTTGACATAAGTCCAAAATCGACGTATTATTCTCTACTTCAGACAGTCTTTCAAATAGGCATGATCTTTTTCAAGTGTTCTTTACTTTTTTACGTTTACAATAATCGGAAAAAGCATTCTTCATTTTCTTTTTTCATTGAATAGCTTGTGTTGATCATAGGGTTAAAGCTGATAATCATCAGTGTTTGTGGTGTAAAAGTTTATATATACATAGTTGCTTTTAAATGTATACCAACTAGAAAGAAGTCATATGCAAATAGCCATCCTACATGCATATTAATGACACCAAAAATAAACTTTATCTCATCACGGATCTCGATCATCATACCGCATATAATGAAGGCGTGGGTGTTGGTCGGGTGTCGAATAAAAACAATAACCACCCAGACCCACACCCTCAAAATATCTAAATTATAAAACAAGTGCTCCCTTGTATTGCTGAGCACTTATATCTTCCTTACCTTCCTGCGTTGGATCTTAGCTATACTACTCAGGTAGCAGTGAAAAACATCATTAGAGTGATGCTGATCGTTTCTGTTTTTATCGAGGAACGGAGAATGCTTCTATAAAATAAAAATTATACGTATGATATTGCTTGTCGTTCTTGCACTGATTTCATAATAGAAGAAAAAGTCACAGTTATAATTGGGCCTATAATTAATATATTTACATTATAAAAACAAGTGGTCCCCGAGTATTGCTTAGCATTTACATCTTCGTTATTTTTCTTCATTAGACCTTCACTATACTCATCCGGTAGGAACGAAAAACATCATTAGAATGGTTTTGATCTCTTCTCTTTCTATCGACAGATGGAGAATACTTCTATAGCATAAAAATTATACGTATGATATTGCTTTTCGTTCTTACACTGATTTCATGATAGAAGAAAAAGTCACAGTTATAATTACACTTATAATTAATATGTTTAAGTTATAAAAACACGTGTTCCCCTTGTATTACTTGGGCCTTACATTTTCATTACTTTTCCTCAGTGCGCATCTTGTATAAACACATCAGGTAGGAAATCGGAGTCTGTGGGGTTTTTGATTTCTAACTAAATTTTGAAATAAAAAAGGGACATCCGTTTTTTTTTCAAAGACCGGATTTTAGGGTGTCCAAGAAAAACAACCTCTTTCTGCATATAACCAGCTGGAAGCGGATCCTCCGTTAAAGAAAAAACATCAAGGGTACTACTAATCACAGGTCAAGAATACCCTAACTCATGTTAGTATAGGTTTCGTTTAACTGTCTAATACTTAATCACATTCAAACTCTTCATGCCTTCATTTTCTAAGTATATCGTTTCATAAATATAGGTAATTAACTAGTGCTACATATAAATGGAAGCACGACTATTGCGTGTAAGACAATTGTGTATAAGATATTTGTGTGCAAGATTAAAGTGTGTACAACCTTTTATGTGCAAATAAATATTTTTTGTCAAAAAGGGAACGGCACGCAACATAAAAAAAGGTACCCTTAATAAAAAAATTAATTAATCTAGACGAGCAAATCAATGAACAATTATAACATAAATGTATGTGCAATAACTTCATTTCTTTTGTTACCATTTGCAGGATCTTCTAAAAACTCATAAAATCCTGACTGGTGTACGTTGAGTTTCGGTGCTCTCTGGTTTTGGCATGGGGGTGTGGACCACAAAGTAATCAACGCCCACACCCACATCCCACACCCTCAAGCATCTCGTATTGCTCGAAAATGAGCGGAAGTAAATTTTCAAATGGTTCCCGTTCCTCAGACGCGGAAGCAAAAGAACGGAAGCCCTGACAACTCTTCCCACATCGTAAAGAAAGGGGGCATTTAGACATATATTCATATGAATAATTCTAAGGACTCCTAGACTTCCATTTTATTTAAACATTGGGTTTTTTGCTATGATTTCAAATGGAAATTAAATATCTCATTGTTTAGGAACCCAATACCTCACACACACTGGTGTATTTGCTTTTAATCTGAATTCAAATTGCAAAAAAGCCATCCAATTTTAAATTGAAATGAAGGCTTAGAGAGTCCTTAGAATTATTTATACGAATATATAGCTATATACCTTCTTTTTGTAAATGGGAAGACTAGGAGGGGTTTAGGAAGTGTTTAGAATTATTCATAAGAATATATAGGTGTACATCCACCTGTTTTTGGAAAGGTGGAATAGAAGCTCTATAAAGGCTTTAGACCTATTTTTATAACTATAGATTTATATACCTAGCTTTTCTATCTGAATTCTGGTATGTTCATGTATAGATATAGGAATAATTCTAAATGCCTCCTAGTCCTCTCATCCAAAAAAGACGCAGATATACACAAGTGTGCACATGATGTGGTAACTATCTCGCAGTCAACACTACTTTTAACGTGAGTAGAGGTGTGGTTGACTTATGATTAGTGATATACGTGATTTGTTTTATTTTTGAAAAAAAAATCTTCTCCTCGGTTTGTTTTTCAAGAGAAAACCCTTTTCCTCAGAGCTCCTGACTCCCATGTTCCGAAAAAAATGAGTGTTATTTTTTTCCAAAATTCAATTTGAAATAATAAAACAACATAGACTTATACGTGATTAGATTGTCTGGAGTCTCTTCTTTGCTTTCGAGTGACCGAGAACGGCTATATTGCGTCAACTGCACTTATGGGATATCGCTTTTCGTTCGTGGTCTGATATCGTTTGAGAACTGAAAAAGATACTTTGTGTTGCAAATATGATCTAGTTTTCTACAATACTAAACACGAAGCACTGTTGCATAAAAGGAAAGGCAAGATGCGCTGTCTTGCGTCTAGTTTTTATTACAGGGTGCGGTCCAAGGACGGATTTAGTAGTCCGATATTTGAAAACAGCTATTGATAGCTGTAGTTCCATTCAAAAGGCATGCGTTCCTTAGATTTCCAGCGCTAAACCCTGCAACCTGCCTTATACATGAACTAGTTTTATATTAGCAACCTATGCTAACGTTTGTCAAAACTTAGGTGGCATGCTATGCAACAGATGATCAGAGGCTAATAGCGATCAATACCCTGTTCAGAGTATTCGACAGCTGTTGGCAGCGAAGTTTTAAGACGCTATCTATCAGATTCTTTCCGAATAATCTAGCCACTGTAATTAGAGGCGTAAAGATCGACTGTATTGTATAGCAGTCACTTGTTTCTCAATATCCTTATTTATGTGTTCTAAGAATAGATTAGATACAGAAGATTACGACATATTGAGCCTATGATTTTATTTTTTATTCAAAAACCGGCAAGCAGTTTCTTTTAAATTGAAAATATAAAGTGAAAATTGACAAAGAACAAGTCGATACATCATAAACTCTCAGTATATGTCTTGATTCATTTTTTTCACTTAAGCGTATCATGTTTTTTCTTTATGACTAAGGAATAGCTTTACATCGAAACTCAATATTGTTCCTGGTCTTCTTATGACATTTTCTTTGTCTCGCTGTAGATTATTATAAGCAGACTTTTTTCATTGTTTCGAGACACAAAATAATCACAAAAATGAAAGATCAAGTACACACGTCATTTTCAACAATGTTATTCGGGTAAGTAAGTTGCTTGTGCTTTTTTGTGCCATGCGTTAGAACGAATTTCTGAGTGATTATGATATCAAAGATGAATTCACGTTTTCATAGTTGAACGATGACTCTTTTTTTAAAAATCCTAGGGTTTCTGCGACCGATTGGACAAGGACATGATAAATTCCGCTTTCCAGGAAATTCAAAATTGGCTGCATCTAAAGTGCAGGAGATTGCAATGAGCAGTATTAATGTGACAATGCCCAGAGCTAATCTCTAGGGGGAAAGGGCGGACTTGAAGTAGAAAAGTACAGTAAAGTACAAAAAGTACTTCAAAGTCGCTCGAAATAACTTAAAGTAGCTCGAAGTAGCTTAAAGTAGCTCAAAGTAGCTTAAAGTAGCTCAAAGTACTTTTTAATTACGTTTAAGTAGCTTCAAATTACGTCAGAGTACTTGAAATTATGCTAAAGTACTTTAAAGTATTCTTAATGATCTAGATATACATAGAACAAAATTAAATAGCGTTGAAAAACTATGAATGATTAGTTTATTCACTTTTTACAACAGTAAATACTAGTAAAACAGAAAAAAATATGAAATGAATAAGTTTACTAATCATGACCAGATGTTTGTTGCATGACACGAGATAAACGATCACTTGATAATTTCGTTAACTGACTCGATGCAGCCAGCAGGCCGATTGTTTGTGAAGATACTTAATATTGTCATTTATTTTGACTTTGAAATACGATTTTCTTATAGCAGGATTAATATTATCAACTATTCTTATTCCATTAAAATCTGATTTTATTGAATTTAATATATTTTCATCATCATCACTAACACCGTCGCTTTGAGCATCAAATAGAATTTCATCAATAAGTTGGTCTGGTGCATAATTGATGACGTCATTATCTTCATTTTCTTCATTCAATCCAAACTCGTCAGTGGTGCTATTTTCTGTTCGGAAAGAATAATTAATCATTCTTGAATTTTTATTTAACATGTCGAAGATATAACTACTTAAATCATTTAAACAATTTATTTTATGCTCATTTAATTTATCTAGTATTTTTGAATGTTTAACAAGACGTAATGCTTGATCATATGCATTTGATATTAATTTTTGAATATCTAAGGTATCAATATTATCTAATTGATGTGATGATTGTAATGGATGTTTGCGTTTGTGTTTTTGATGTATGGGAAATGATAGATCTTTTTCCAAATGATTATGTTTAAATTGATTTAATATTGATAGTTTTTGTGAACGTCGCATAAAATCTGTTACGGTAAAATTGACGACCGTTGAGGATGTACTGCTTAATGATCTTGCATCTCTAAATAATGACTCGCATGGTTGTGAATTGAATAAATGTATATTGATTAATGCTTGCTTTGGTAAATGTTGCTGTTTCACTAATAGCACTAAATATAGTAAATTGTGTGCGTTCAACTCAACAGACATATATGCAGGTCTAGTAATAAAGTATTTGTTAATTTTATTTTTTCTGTTGCTTGTTGTTTGGCTGGTTTTCGATGATTTCAAAGTTGATGTTTTTTTCTAAGCAAGACCACCAAAGGCGACACACAAATACTACACACCATGCTGATTGAATACCTAAATACATAGAAAGTGTTAACAATTAATCAGTTTGACCTTTTTCGTTTCTAATGTTAAAAATGGACTTACGTTCATGAATACTTGTCGATTTATCAATGTATGCTTTTATTATCATTTTTAACAATGTTAAATAAACAACTGTCGCATTGCTATCTATACTATCATTAAGAAGATTTATTACATCGTCTGATATTAACTTAATACATGAATTATAATTTTGGCGATCTTTAGGATTAATATCACTTTTCGTCAAACCATGATCGAATTTTGTATAACTATTGTTATCTATTAGTTGTTCTATATGTGCCATACTAATTTTATCTTTCCCAATATATAAATCCACTGTTGATGATAACAATCGATTACGCCATTTGGTAACGATATGTACCGGATCTTGAAAAAACAAGAAGAGTTGATTTCTACTAAGAAAAAACCAAGTCCAGTCATTCGGTATATCTATTTAAATGCATGTTGATGCTTGCCTAATTTGAAATTCGGTAACGACGAGAAGAAATTACTGGGAAGACGCATGGCACTTATGTATTTGTTATCTGCATCTATTTACAATTAAGATACATTTGAGAGGAACATTGTATAAATAAAATTTACCTGTAGAAAATCCGATAATGCGAACATCTTTATCTAAACAACGTTCAAAAATATGCATCCATCTTCGTAAAATATCCATAGCTGTAAACTTGTTGTCAACACCATAAGCAGAGAGTAAAACTGGTTTCGGAAAATTTGTTGGATCATCTTCTGTTGATATACTTTGGAACAAATGCACATTCAATAATGGTGCTGTTTCATTGGTACTATAAATGATTTTAAAATCATCAAATGTATCAGCTTGATAATGTTTCGTCAATGGAATACCATCAACGATTGGTGTTGTAAATCCAATGAATGAGTTTGTCGACGAATCGTATTCAACTTTAGGAATGACACCAGTAGTATCTTCAGAACAAAATCCAAAACCTGATTGAAACTTTTGAAGTGAGTCAAATTTAAATTCTGCTTCAGTTAAAGTCATATTCGATTTATTATAATTAAATCACCAAGTATTGCCAAATGCGGTATACTACCAGGCATATTTAAACGAACGAACTCATAGCATTATTTACCACCGAAAATATATAAGCATATGGCAAATTTTTTAATTGATTCAGTGTATCTAAAATTATTTGAAGAGGGTGTAAGATTGAATACCACATTATCGATGAACATCGTTAAAAACCTATTTGCTTTGTTGTTGTTTTCCGAGTCATTTTGTTGATACCATCTAATTAAAGATTTTAAAAGCGGATGCTTGTCAATAAACTCGTTAGATATAAATGTATCTCGAGTTTCATTATTTTCATTTAGTGTTAATTCTTCTTTTAGCTTCTGGTTTAATAATTTGATTAAATATGATAAACTGGTTTGAATACCGGGTTTAACAAAATATTGTCCAGTTTTAGATTTAAAACAAGATTCAGCTTTTATTTTATCTGTTTCTTCAGATTCAATTTGAAAAAATGCGAATACATCAGGTGTAGATAACAGTTTTCTTGCCGAATTAATTAGCTGTATCCGTAAAATATTGAATACTGAATCACCGGCTAATGCTTTAACAATAGAAAAAAAAATCATCATCCACACGTGTAAATATATCATTTGGTAAAACTGATGTATCAATTAATGAACTATCTTTGTCTACGCCGAAATTCATTTCGTACAATAAATTTTATGTGGGTACCTAAAACAATTATGTTAATGTACATAGAAATAGAAGGTTTCATATGTAAGTACGTTACCGGTAAAGACTTTAAGTAACGATTGTAAATTTGCCTCGTTCAATTATTGTTAAACAGTTTGTTAATATGTTCAGAAAAAATAGGATTAGCACGACTGTTACTTGAAAATTTATCTGAAACAGATAATAAGAATATTTGAAATCATAAAAATGTTATCAACAAACTATTGAATCATTCAAAAGAAAATATTGATACGATTAGCAGTTATTTTATTCGTCCTTTTATGTATTTAACATAATAAGATAACTAGACTTTTGGATATATTGAAGTGTGTAATTTAGCTCTTCTTTTATTTTTATGTATAGCTTGATTGCGTTAATTTTGATCATTTTTACTAGACTCGTCATATCTTCCTATTGTATCAAAAATTTCTAACTTTTGTATGGTTGAATAGAGCATGACTTGACCTATGGAATACCACTCTTTTTCATTCTTTTACTTTTAGCCTAAGAGAGAAAATCTAGAAAGTCTCAAAAGGCGCAAAAAGAAACTTTTTCACGATAATACCTCACAGAGGCGACACCTGTTTGTGGTGAAAAGAATGTCAGATTAATGAGAATTAACAAATATGGGTCTATAAATAGCACATTGTGAAACAGTTTTCAAATTTAGTAGAAAATTTCATTTTAAGGTCAGGATTGTAGACAAGCATACATTGCTAGGTTTTCAATGATATTTGCACCGTTCGAAAATCAAGTAAATATAACAACGGAGCCATGACCAGTCGATACAGTCGTTAATCTATCAGTGAAGAATACTCAAATAAATAAGTTATTGTCACTTAGTTGGCAATCTGACTAATATTCGAGATTTGATGGCTAATAAACTGTGCAAAATTGTCGAAGTCTCTTGCCAATCTAGAGAATATATTTGATGAAAATCATACAGTTCGATAAAGCGATTCAAAATATATCTAGTTGTGTGCAGACAATGGGAGTTTACTGAACAACTAAGTTGTAATTAGCAAATTTTGATTTCAGAGCTACCATTTGAAAAAAAATGTTTTGAGTGTTCTTCAAAAGTCACTGGCTGCTCTACCTTAGAGGCAACATAAATCAATCGAAAATAGTAGCATTTGATAGATTGAGTTATTCTCTATCCAACTATATCAAAGTTAGAAATTTTTGATATAAAAGAAAACTATAGAGAGTCTAGTAAAAATGATCAAAATTAACGTAATCAAGCTGTACAACAAATTCATCATATCTTGTAAGATGATAAATGAGAAAAAAAGCAGAAAAGAGACGGTCTTGTATGTAAAGAAGAAAAAAGAATGGAAAAAATAACAAATATGAACCAAATAGATCTTCATGAAAAGCAAATTTTATTGGTTTAATTAGGGAAATAAAATGTATATTTATGAATAAGTAACTGAAAAGTCATCTTGAATCATGTTGATAACAACGAATGAACGTTTGCGATCGCATTTAAAAAATATTCTTGACAAAAATACATCTTATGTAACATAATGACAGCAAGATCATAGACAGATTAATATATTCAATATAAAACAAAAGCAATATCTTGTCTAATTAATATGAAGCCGCAAATACATGTAGAAAATATGTTGATGTCAACATGTCGATATCGATTATTTATAATCCTTCATATTATTGAATTTTGATTTTTTATTTAATCTATTCCTTGAATAAAATAGCAGAAAATATCGTATTTTCATATTCAATATAATTGTCTTTTTATAATTATTATCCATAAAATATACTGCAAACTAACTATTTAATATCTTTCTATTAACAAATTAATTCTTCGAATCACATTTTTTTTCAAAATGTAGTGGTTTATATTATATTATTGTTTGCCAAAAATAAAATAACCTTTAACTATTATCCACATTATGTACTTACAGTCATATTGAGAAATTTTAAATAATTTAGTATATAGAAGTATTGAAAGTACTTGAAGTAGCTCAAAGTAGCTTAAAGTAGCTTAAAGTAGCTTAAAGTAGCCTAAAGTAGCTTAAAGTACTTGAAAGTTCGTATGAAGTAGCTCAAAATCTGCTAAAAGTACTTTAAATTACCTCGAAGTACTTTAAAGTAGTTTAAAGTACTTGAAGTACAAAAGTCCGCCCTTTCCCCCTTGGCTAATCTTCATATATAGAGGCACATTTTATATCGTTATATATAACTGTTCTGATACTATTTCATAAAAAAATGTGTATATAACAGATCTCTACTATTTATATTTTTATCGAATCATGGCACGCATTTTTATATATACATAATATATGGTTTGATTTAGGGTTGGGCTTGGTCGTGTCGGGTTGGGTTTGGTTGAGTTGGGTTGGGTTGGGTTGGGTTGAGTTGAGTGGGTTGGGTTTGGTCCGGTCGGATTGGATCAAGTCAAGTAAAATAAGAATATATATCTATATATATAATATATATGATTGGATTTGCTGTTGGGCTAGGTCTTAAGGGTGAAGAGATGTTTTGATATGAAACATGTATATAAGCTTTTCTATACATATCTCACACCATAATGGGCTTCATTTTATGACCTGACCCAACCAAGCCCAACCCAACCCCACCTAACTCAACCCAATCCGACTCAACCCAACTCAACCCAATCCGACTCAACCCAACTCAACCCATTCCTAACTTAGACTTCAACTTCATCTCTATATTCTTTTTTTTAATTAGACGAGTTTTCTATGATTATCCTTAAAAGCATTTGATTAAATTTCCATGAAATTTCTCCTATAGTCACTTTATTTGAATTTCCTGGAAAGCGGAATTTACCATCGCATGTAGTAGTTGAAACCATAGTGTATGTTACAAAAACGGATTTTCTCATTTTCTCAGTCGATACAAAGCTGAGAATTACTATGTGAGGACTAAACATTGCATAGCAAACTAATTTTTTTCTTTTCGGCTAGCAGTATCGAAATATCAGAAGAAAAAAACGCATGTAGTTTATCTACAGACAAAATCTATCACAAGAAGTTAAATGAAGAAAATTTTATAAAAAACAGTGTCGTCAATGTAACTTACATATCTCAAAGAACACAACATGTACGAATAATATCAAAACCATATTCAACTCCAAGAGGGCTTCAATCATTCAGCATTGTCATTTCCAACATAATATGAATTTACAAAAAGAGAATACTTCGAGAACTTCTTAAGACAAACTTCTTTAGAGATCTTATACAAAGATTATGCACCCCAGAAGGATGTTATTACTTAAACAAAGCTTTCTTTGTTTCATTTTTCGTGCCATATTATGGCAGTGCTATCAAATGTATTAATATCTCAATTTTATGTGAAGTTTGCACGAATCCCGATTTTTCCGAAGCCTCTTTTTCGAAGAGTTCACTTTCAAAAGTATTTCTTCCATCTTTTTGGGATTTTCAAATTTGATAGAAACTACTCTATACATCTTGTTGGACAATATCTAAAACAATCAACTTTTCCAATAGGATTTACATCTTTGGAAATGTTTAGAACATATCCGCACGTTGACTCCATAGTAGTTCTTACACCTTTTCCAAAAAACTTGATCGGTAAGATAACATTACTTTACATACAAAAAGGTTTGAAGTTTCTTAGATAAAAGTGCGAAGAGGTTTGTTGGCATGTCTTGCAAATATTAAAAAATCATATCATTATTAGAGAAAAGAGAAAATTCAATTAATTGACTATGGTTCGCACACAGCTAAATGAGTGGGTGTTCTCCGTTCTTATTCTTGGGATAACTTCTTTTTTTTTTGAAGTCAACGAATGACATAACTGATACAGTTGACATTGCTGAAGAATTGTTTTGCGACACAGTATCCTATTTTCAGACGCACAATTAAAAGTTCATGGACAGTAATACTTGCCATTCTCTGTGTTTTGATGATCACTGCTGCTATTGCACTAGTACTCATTCTTTCATTGATACCGATTTATTTGCCAACTAAATCAATTACATCTATCAACAACAATGGTAATCTAGTGTCATCTTTTATTTGTTCGAATGATTTCATTTGAAATTCATCTTAGGTGCACTTGCCTTATCTGTAACATACGGAACAAACTTAGCGAGTCTGACATCGTCGACAATAACGGATATATCTCAACTCGTTCAACAAGTATGTGTCTATCTTCGACTTGAATTGTATTACTGTTAAATATTGTTCAGCTTGGGAAAGCATACAATCTCCAGACATACATAAAGCCAACGATTGCATATAGTTTTATTTTGACAAATAGCGCATCAAGCAACCGCAGGAAACGAA